ACAAACCCTGCACGCCCCCACACCCCCCCCCCCCCCAAAGAATAGTGCCCTTCCTGTGATGCAGGCAAGCTTTTGAACAGAACTGGAGGAAAGGCTTTAAGTGGGTCCCACACCAGATGGAACCGGCTTTGCTTACTTGTAATACAATAAAATTGAGAATCTGCAGCAGCGTGTGTATGTATGCATAGATATACACATATATGTTTGAATGTATATACATAGTGTATGTATGTAGGTGTAAAAAGAAATAAACGTTACAGTGTGGCCCTAAGTTGCTCAGAAAAAGGAGTTTTGGATAATATAGCACTTTCTTTTTGCTTCCTGGAAGATTCTTTTCGTAAGTGCATGGGATGAATTCCAAATTTAGGCTGGCTTAGAGTAGATTCAATAAAGTAACTTGGATGGAATACATTTGTTGGATCTATTACAGGTTTGTCTAATTCTACCTTTCACCAGTAAAACCAAGAAGCATTTGGATAATCTGAAGCTATTCTGGGGTCTTTCTTTTATAAACCTGTAGACATGCAGATCTCAGGCTTCTGGCTATGGAATATTCCTTTTAATAGCTATGTGACTTTTCACATAATCTTCAAATTGGTTTTATTTTTTCAGAGAGGCTGGTATGCCAGTGAAAATGAGTACTATCTGCTAGTTTTCACCCTGATTGTCCGCTGTCTCTATTATACAAGCTTCAGTCTAGAATACTGTTGGGATAGGACTACTGGAATGATACAGCATTCATTCCTTTGGATGTTGTCATATACGTTCTATTATCCTGTGTTTCACAATGGACCTGTTATCACCTTTGATGAATTTTATAAACAGGTAACAACACTTTGGATTGCTTTGATGCTGTTGACAATATATTTTTGTATTGCTCATAATTATTATTTCTGAAGCCACTTTCTAATATCTTACTTGATGTTGGAGAAAGTGATAGCCACCAAAATATATGAAAAGTATGTATGTACGAAAGTTTTTGGATGATAACTGTGATAGTAGGAACCTAGCATTCAGATAAATATAGGCACAGCTACAGTGTTGATTGGATTATATGGATCTTAAATTAACATTCTAGCAAAATAGAATTCATTGTAAATAAAGGCAAATGTCTGCGTTTAGGCAAGAGAGGAAAAAAGACCACACAGAATTAGGATGGGAAATATTGGTAGGCAACAGTTCAAATTGAATGAATGTTAGGAATGCAATTGATTAGCTGTCGAGCATCAGTTAGCAATGTGATGTTGCTGCAAAAAAATTGATGTGATTTTACTCTTCAGTAATACAACCATAGTTGTATTATTTTATTATTTATTATTTATTTATTATATTATATTATTTATTATTTATGTATTTATTTATTATTTTATTATCATAAAAAATAATCATTTGAATTTTTTTTCTGTGTAAGCCGCACATCATTTTGGAATACTGTATTGAAATGAGTGCTTCTAAAAATTATGCAGACAGATTCAAACAGGTTCAGGATAGTCAGGAGCATTGAAAAATTGGGTATATTGGCCTGGAAAAATGAGTGGGGATATGACTACATTTTTCAAATACATTGAGGATGACAAAGCCTTGGTCTGTGCTGTCCCAGGAGCAGGGCTAAATCTATTGGTTTCAGTTCCAGAAAGTTTAATTTCAATTCAGCATTTAGCTGGTCCTTGAGGAGAAGCGTAGCTTGATGGTAAGAGCCAATTATAAAGAGTAGGAATTGGCTGTCATGGAAGTAGAGCTTGAAACACCTTTTGGGAATATACTAACTCTAGATTTCTTGTATTGAACAGCTAGATTTTTATGCCAAGCCCTTTTCTTCTAATTCTGTGAGTCTGTGAAAATGTAAATTGAAGCTACAGTGATTTTTAGAATTGGATATTGAGTTTGGAAAAACTTGCTTTTTTAGCTGTTGGATTTAGCCCAGTTTTCTCAAAGATAACTTTGACCATGTGAAACATGAAAGGTGTCTGTATAGAGCTGATTATAAGTATTGCATGTCTGGGGTGGGAGCCCAGAGAGAAAATTAGATTCTTATGCATTCAAAGAGAGAATTTTTTAATAGCTCTGGTATAAGCTCCTTTGGGAATTCAGGCTAGAAAATTCCTTTTGAATTTATACTAGATGATTATTCTCATTATTTTAACTGTTGTTGTTGTTAAGTCGTTAAATCGTGTCCGACTCTTTGTGACCCCATGAACCATATTGCAC